TGCAGGAATATAATTACTGAAAATTTCAATTTCAATATTTGGTATACATGGGAATTGAAGGGGAATAAGTAGTATAATGTTCAAAATGTCCATACTTATTAATATTAATAATTAACAACAACAACAACAACAACAACAATAATATTAATAATAATAATAATAATAATAATAATAATAATAATAATAATAATAATAATAATAATAATATTATTATTATTATTATTATTATTATTATTATTATTATTATTATTATTATTACTATTATTATTATTATATTATTACTATTATTATTACTATTATTATTATTATTATTATTATTATTATTATTATTATTATTATTATTATTATTATTATTATTATTATTATTATTATTATTATTATTATTATTATAAATCCTAAATCACCAAATTCATATTTTTTTTTGAAATTTTATGTAACACGTTGTAAATATAAATCCTAGAATTGCATAACAAAAGAAATAAAATAGATAAGGGAGTTTTGAGAAAAAAAAAATTTGATTGAGGTTGGACTACTAATTGACGTTCTGTGTTGAGAGTAGAAGAAAAGACACATAATAATCAAAAGAGATATGTCAAACATCAATTTTAGGTTAAAAAAAAAAAAAGACGAGGGTAATTTTGCCTCAAAGTTATTTTTTTTCTTCCTACAATTCATGAAATTGAAATACCAAGGGGGGCATGGGATTATAATTCCATGAAAATGAGGAAATCTCCAACCAAATGAACCTTTATAATTATATATATGGGAATTAGATGAGAATGAAATTGTAATTCCTCCAACCAAACGCTCAGTAACAAGTAAAATTAACACTGCTGAAAATTTATGTATTTCTGATCACTAAAAAATGTTATGAACATACATACATACATACATACATACATACATACATACATATATATATATATGTGTATATATATATATATATATTTTTTTTTTTTTTGAAACCAAAGTGAATATATCATTAATGTAGAAAGCCTGAAATACACGCAGGGGGTATAGCAGACCAAGACCCCGAGCCAGTCGATGAATCAGTTGCCCGTGCAAGGACATGAGCCACTTGATTCGCTGATCTCTTGACATGGCGAACAACAACGTTCCCGATGTCTCTAGCAATCAAAAGACATTGCTTCACAACTAAATCTACGTACGAAAAACCCAAATTGCAAGAATTAAAAGCATTACAAAAAACTAAACAATCAGACTCTATGATTAGCCTCTCGTGGCCCATACCGCGTAGCCACGAGAGCGCCTCTTTAACCGCACAGGCTTCGGCCATAAGTGGATCCCGATCACAAACTAGTCTACCATTTTTTGCCGCCACGAAGCCACCATCATGATCACGGATTGCTGCTCCATAAAATACATCATCAGCCAATATTGCCGCATCAACATTGCACTTTAACCAACCTCTCATTGGGGGTTCCCAGAGTGTACAAGGCGCAGCTGCATGTTCCCTAGGGAGCACTGGCGCATAAGTTACAGTCCATGAAGAAATCAAAAGATTTATGTGATTACGTAAGGCCTCCATAGGCCACTCCTTGCCGCGCCACACACAATCATTCCTTGCCATCCATAATGACCAAACAATGGCAGCCAACCGTATAGCATCATCCTCCGTCGCGCTGGTAAGCTTTGCTTCAATAAATGCCGGAATGGATTCCCCATGCAGCACGTCGTCCCTTTCCCAAACCTGCTTCGCAATCCAGCATTCTCCCAACAGATGTTCAGTTGTCTCATCAAATTGTCGACACAGTGGGCACCCACCACCTATCCAAATGTGCTTTAATTTCAGATTTTCACGGACCGGTAGAATCCCCCGTACACATCGCCATAACAGATTACGTACCTTAGGTGGGACTCGAAGATCCCAAAGTAGCTTCCAAGCACGGAACGAATTCGCATTACCTGTCTGGTTGGTGATCGACGTAAGGCTTCTGTACCCGTGGCGAACATTGTACTCTCCGCGGATGTCCCCCCTCCAACGCCAGGTATCGGGTAGATGTATTGATATGGGGGTTGCAAGAATTCGTCTCACATCCGTTTCGCTAAAAAGGTCCCGAAGAATTTGTTCATCCCACTGCCCATTTGCATGCATCAATCCGTTGACTGTAGCCTCCTTTAATTCTTCCACACGTTCAGTATCCAATTGACATATGGATTGATCAGCCACCCATGGCCAATCCCAAAACTTTGTGGTCCGCCCGTCACCAATCCGCCGTGCAAGGCCCTCCCTCAAAACATTCTGTCCTGCTATAATACTACGCCATATATAGCTCGGGTTGTTACCCAATTTTGCCTCCATAAAGTCGCACCTCGGATAATATTTCGCCTTCAAGATCTGGCCAACCAAAGAAGTTGGTGTGGTCAAAAGGCGCCACCCCTGTTTGGCAAGAAGCGCAGTATTAAAAGCCCGGAGACTTTTGAACCCAAGGCCACCCTGACTCTTTGGTACACTCAGTCTTGCCCAACTCAACCAGTGCACCCCACCAGTATTCGCGGCCCCACCGCCCCACCAGTACCGATTAAACAGTTTCTCAATCCTGTCGCACACCCGAGCCGGTAATAAGAAAATAGACATCGTAAATATTGGCAGAGCCTGAGCAACACTCTTAATTAAAACTTCTTTACCTGCTTTAGAGAGAAATTTATGCTGCCAAGAACTCAGTCTTTCCCGTACCTTATCCTCAATAAAGCTGAAAGTGGCAGATTTATTCCGACCCAGGACCGATGGCAGTCCCAAGTAACGACCCAGATCCCGAGTTTCCCGAACTCCTAAACACGCATTGATCACGCCTCTCACTTCTGTTTCCGTATTAGCACTGAACATAGCACTGGACTTGTCAAAGTTGATTAATTGCCCCGATGCTGCGCTGTATGTGTCCAAACAGCTTTTCACAGTCTGGGCCTCCGCTAAAGTAGCCCGGAAAAACAGCAGACTATCGTCCGCAAAGAGAAGATGAGTCACTGCCGGGGCTCCCCGTGCAACACGCACCCCATGAATGGCGCCACATCCCTCCGCCCGTTGTAGCAAAAGAGATAAACCCTCTGCACATAAAATGAAGAGGTAAGGAGATAGCGGGTCCCCTTGGCGGATCCCTCGAGAAGGACAAACAGTTCCCACACCATCGCCATTTACCTGAATAGTGTACCGGACCGTCGAGACGCATAACATCATTAAATCAATCCAACTTTGATCAAAACCAAGGGCTCCCAACATACCTTCCAAATAGTTCCACTCCATCCGATCGTATGCCTTGGCCATATCAAGCTTGAGGGCCGCCCAACCCATTGCACCACTGGTTTTCCGCCACAGAAAATGTCCAACTTCCCCGGCAACAATGATATTGTCGGTGAGTAATCTGTCGGGAACAAAGGCACTTTGTGACGGCGACACCACTGACTCCAAAATACCCTTCATTCTATTGGCCAACATTTTGGCAATAACCTTATAGGCCACATTGCATAATGCAATTGGGCGCAAATCAGCAACTCTTTCCGGGACTTTTTTCTTGGGTATCAAAACGATGTTTGAATCGTTAAGGCCCGAAGGAAAAGATTTTGTATTAACGCACTGTAACACAAAATTGGAAAGATCATGGCCCAACACCAGCCAAAAATGTTGGTAGAAAGCCGGTGTCATTCCATCCGGACCTGGGGCTTTTTCCGGGCCATGGAGAAGAGTGCAGTCTTGACATCCGTCATTGAGAACGGTTGTCGTAACCAAGCATTCATCTCGGCACTAATTTTATTTTGAACCCGATGGAAAATATTAGAAGATGTGTTCTACGCTTGGAAAATATTATTATAGTACCTTAACACCTCCGCATGCATTAGCGTTCCCTCCTGTCATATACCCTGCGGATCCTTCAGTTTTGCCAACGAGTTACATCGCTTCCGAAACGATGCCATTTTGTGGAAATACTTTGTATTCGAGTCACCCTGTTTAAGCCATAATTGTTTGGACCGCTGCCTCCAAAATAATTCCTCCTGATTTAGAAGTAATTTCAATTCCTCCTGAGCTGCAAGATACTGCCGAACAGCTTCCAGAGAACGGTCTTCTTGTAATTGTTCTAATCGACGACACAACATCCCTATTCTCCGCCCGAATCGCTGCCTATATTCTCCGCCCCATCGTCCCAGCTGCTCCGCACAAACAGCTATGCGCTGCTGAAAATCAAGGTCGGCAGATTGCCTCCAGGCCACCTCTACAACATTTTTACAGCCCTCTTCCAGTAACCATCCGGATTCAAACCGGAAAGCTTTCCGGGCCTGTCGAACTGGTTGCGGGTCTATGTCTAAAAAAATAGCATGATGGTCAGATGAAGATGTCCATACATGGCGAACCACAGCTGCTTCATACAAGTCCATCCACTCAGTTGTGGCTACAGCACGATCAAGCCGTTCTTCCACCCACATCTCAGTGCCTCGTCCCCGCTCCCAGGTAAATCGAGGGCCAATCATCCCTAAATCAACAAGCTCACAGTCATCCAGAGCCTGAGTGAAGCCATCGATCAGGGCAGTAGGTTGTGGATTGCCACCTCGTTTTTCCGCCTGGCTAGCAACATCATTAAAATCCCCAAGGACAGTCCAGGGAAGATCAGAACGGCCCCTAAGCTGTCGTAGCAAATCCCATGTTTCTTGATGCTGCCCACGATCGAAATTTCCATAAAATCCCGTAAGACGCCACTGCGGCAATTCTGATGGCGTGACAACAATATCTATATGGTTCTTAGATAGGCTAAGAAGACTAGCCATAGTAGAGTCCCTCCATAACAGTGCCAAACCCCCACCTCTTCCCTCCCGATCCATGCATAACATTCCCTCAAAACCCAATCTCACCCTCAAACGTTCCACCTGACTAGTGACAGACTTTGTCTCTATTAAGAAGACAAAGTTGGGTCGCAGACGAGCCACAATGCCCGTCAATTCTCGAACTGTCTGGGAGCCACCCATACCCCGACAGTTCCAACTCAACACACTCATTGTGTCGGGCAGGACTGGTTCGCCAGCCCCGCTATATCAAAATTTTTTGAGTGTTCCTCCATCACAACATCCTTGCCCGTCACATCATCCACCTCCTCACTGCCTTCCCGTCTTCTCTTAAGATCGCCATGTAGGCCACCGTTCTCCTCTACGACCGCCAGTGCCACTGATGGCGACACCTCCCCGGGGACAGCCACCATTGTTTTTGCCCTTGATGGTAAGAGCCATTTGGCACCAATCGGTTTGACCTGCCGGCGTGGCCCTGCTTTCATCCAAGCGCCGAACGGGTATTCATCTGGCTCCACACCCTCCTCATACGCCTTCTTACAATGCTTATCTATATGCCCCAGAATGCCACAACAGAAACAAAAAATGTTGAGCCTTTCGTACCTAAAGGTGATCCACAGCGTTGATCCGTCTTTCCGGATGATCTTCATTCGGCGTTTCAGTGGCACGTTTACATTCAGCAGAACACGCATCCGATAGTAACTTCTCCAGCCTCCTCCAAAATTGTGTGGATCGGTAGCTGCGAATGTTCCAACGTAGTCGCCGATGCGGGTGATAAATTCCGTCGAGGCGAAAATCGTAGGTAATCCATGGATTTGGATCCAAACCGGAACTTTGGTAAGATCAACCTCCTCCGGCCTCACTCCCGGTTGAACCTGAGCGCACACCAGCAAATTGTTTTCGAAGGACCATGGTCCATCGTCGAGAACCCGATTCATGTCCTTAGGATGGGGAAAATGGAACGAGAAGAGATTTTCCTCGATCAGAGTCACGTGCATTCCCATAACCGGACGCCATGACCTGTTGCATATGGTCGAATTTGATCGGTTTGTCGGTGAGGAACCGTCCGACCAACTCCCACTGCGGATCGTCCTGATTCGTAACCTGAATCTCCGGCGCTGCCAGACCACCGCACTCCTCCTCCGCCAATGACAGGTCTGCCCATCTCTCCTCGATTTGGTTAACCATCAGGGAAGATCTTGCCTCCATGTCGATGATGATACAGAATATGATCCACGTAAATAATGAAAATTCCAACGCAATAATACGGTGAGCATATCGATATCTGGACTGATATGCCATGAATAAATACCACAAAAGAAATCCAAGACCCTAGATTACTAGGGAGAAACTCTCCTAGGCCACGCTAAGAGAGAGGGCCACATATATATATATATATATATATATATATATATATATATATATATATATATATATATATATATATATATATATATATATATATATATATATATATATATATATATATATACACATACACACACACACACACACACACACACACACACACACATATATATATATATATATATATATATATATATATATCATGTCAATGCACAAAAACATTATATAATAGTGATTTCAGTATAAACAAATAACATTTTTCTTTTTACATAACATAGTTCCTTTGGAATTCATATTATACATTAAGGTAAACTCCATATAGAAAACTCTTCCAATAATATAACTTTATTCATAAAATTTCAATTCAAAATTTTGTTTAAAGAAAATTAAACTTTTCGATTTATTTAGTGTGACGGGGAAATTTTGGAGCCACTATTCAAGAGTATTCATTAAATAAAATCCTACTCTTTTGTAGGGCAATGCAAATTCTGACCTATCCGAATAAATTGACCGGTCCAAAATCCGAAGTTGGGGCTAGTGCGGGTATCCAAAACCGAAGAAAAAATTTGAACAGTATCTGATATTCTTAGCAGATGTTTGTGCATTGATATGATATATATGACATGATATATATATATATATATATATATATATACACACACACACACACACACACACACACACACACACACACACACACACACACACGTGCGTTGTTCAGTTCTCAAACCCTAGACCATATTTCGATTTCCCTTTAATTTGCTCAGTCGCGACCTCTCCTTCTCTGTTCTCACATTCTCTCTGAGCTCTCAGTATCTCTTGAGTCATGAGTTTTATACTCTTATCTTCTCATAATCTCGGCCCTTATACACTGAAAGTCTAGATTTCGAATTTGTCTTGCTGTTTGTGACTTTGTGGTTGCTGGTGGAAGCCCAAAACTCCGGTGAGGCTTATTTTTGTTGAGATTATTGATTAGACTCATTAGAGAATTTGAGCATTTGTTGTATGTCGTAACCCTAGTTTGTGTTTATTATATTTTCTTTTAATTGAGATATGCTTAAGGCGTATGTGAAAATTTAAATATTATGAAAAATCTGACATATGTGATATCATATATGACTATGTGAAGTCGAATTTATTATGGGATTAGGGTTTGCCACTTTGCCCTGATCTAAAATCTATGATGCGGATTTTATTTTTGTGATTGAGATTCTATCCTAATTTTATATCTGGTTAGTGTTAATCTATGTTTGCGATATTCTGTGAATCTGTGATAGGAATTTTATTCTGTTATGAGATTAGGGTTTTCCGTAATTAGGGTTTGCCCTAATTTAATAAAATTTAAGGAAGCCCTTAATTGAATATATTATGTTAAATGTTACTGTGGAAGCCCTAAATTTCCGTACATGAGCCAAAATAATGAACTTTGAAGTGAAAGTTCTAATAATGAATTATGAAAAAGGAAACTAATGTTATTTATGGAATTATGGACCTTTAAAAAATGTTGTTGATGGAATTATCAATTATGGACTCTTAATTTGGTGATTTGGACAAAAAAATATGAATATACATTCGGACTTATGAACCAAATCAACCAATGTTTCTGTCAATCTAGGATGCGTTGAAGCCCAATGTGTTAAACGTCTAACTTGGTGATTTGGCATGTGTAGAAACCCAAAATTCTAGAATGTTCTTAAATACTTAATTGTGTGTGACTGTGTGTTATGAGTCTAACTACACTGACACATATTTGATCTTATTTTTCTTACTGAATTCTAATACCCATCTGTAAAGATAGAAAGTATTAGTTTGCCTGGTTAACCTCTTATAGTATATAGTGAGGAACCTACTTGGGTGGAAGCTGAAGCTATGGAGAGAAATCAATCTCAGCCACAAAATATGTCTCCTCCTTAATCTGTTCTCGCAAAGAAAAGAAAGGAGTTTGAAACCAGATCCAAAACATGGGATCATTTTGAAAAGATCAAAGACAATAATGGTATGGTTATTAAAGCAAAAGTGTATTTAGTGTGCCAAAATATTTACTTGTGTGTCAAAAAAACATGGCACATCTTCCTTAAGACACCATATGCTTAACTGCCTACAGAATCCCCACTCCAAAGATGTAAGATAGTCACTCCTTTCATTTCATCATGTGGCTAATCCTAGGTCCTAGTGCAACTAACAATCCAAATTGTAATGAAGGGGTCTTAAGTACTTGGGTGTTCAATCAAGAAGTAATTAGGAGGGCCCTAGCAGAAATGATAATCATTGATGAGCTCCCTTTCAGATTTGTAGATGGGCAGGGGTTTAGAATCTTTATTATTGTTACTTAGATTTAAAGTCCCATCTAGATGGACTATAAGTAGGGACATTTATCAAATATTCACTTATTAGAGGTTAAATATATTGAAAATGTATAGGACATGATGTCAAAGAGATAGTACTACAACTGATACTTGGACTTCTGTCCAAAGGATAAATTATATATGTATAATTGCACATTTTATTGATTATTAGTGGAAGCTACACAAAAATATTATTTCCATTGTCTTTGTTACCTCACATAGGAGAGAATATATTGCTAAAACCTTAGAAAGTTGCTTGCTTGAGTGGGGGTAAAAAATGTATTCATTGTCACTGTTGACAATGCTTCAAGTAATGACACTACTATGGGTTTCTTAAAAAAGAAGTTGATATCTTGGGGGTCTCTCCTATGAAATGCAATTATGTGCACATGAGATGCATTGCACATATTTTAAATTTAGTTGTGCAAGATGGGTTAATGGAGGTTGACATTTCTGTGAGGAAGGTGAGGGAGACAGTTAGATATGTGAGAAATTCTCCTGCTAGGCTTAAGAAATTCAAGGACCGTTCTGATTTGATAGGGGTGGAAGCCAAGTGTTTTTTTTATTATTTTTTTTATTATTTTTATTATTTTTTTTATTTTAACTCTAGATGTGCCAACCAGATGGAATTCAGCCTAATTGATGCTAAAACATTCACTTACATATCAAAAAGTTTGTGAAGCCTATGAAGAAAATGATAGTTCATTTAGCTCTGATTTAGGTGAATTTGTCCCTTATTTTATTAAATGACAGTGAGGATTTCTGGTTCCCTGTATGTGACTGCTAATAGTTTCTTCTTTGAAATTTCTGATTGTCTTACTTGTTGTCTGATATGTTCTTATTTTGGTGTATTAACAGATATCATACAGTTAAATTACCATGGAGGAAATAATGTTATTTTATTTAAGGCTGATTGGTGGGATGTTTATCATTAAACTAGATTCAAAGTTGACAAATTTGGGTTTCCTCTTGTCAATATTACACGAAAGTTGCAAACTAATGAATCATATGTTTTAGCGTCTCAAGCTGAGCATGTTTACTATGTACGCGATATTAAGGAACGTAATTGTAACACCCCCTTTTTCTAAAATCTAAATCCCGATATAAATCAAAATTAATTAAGATAAAACAGGGATAACTTAGATAACTAAAGTAACCATCCAAAACGATAAGCTAAGGGGATGTTACTGCCACAGTCACCACTCACGGTAACTGCACATGCTACAAAAAGAATTACGAAAACTAGAGTCAAAAGCTCTACAAAATATCATAACATGGGGAACAAACCCTGCTGTCTACGCACTAACAAAAGGTAGTTTGAACTACAAGTGTCAAAATTACTACTAAGGGTAGGGACACTAATCTAGCAACTACCATAACTAAGCTACGCACTAAACTATCATCGTGCGCTCTCAAGTACTGGGCCCACCTGGAAGGGGTTATAAAACAAGTAGGAAAATAAACCCGTTAGCAAATTAATGCTAAGTATAAAGCCACTCAACCCTGTAAAGTACTCTAGATATAGATTTGGAAAATGGTTGACATTCAAACACAGTCTCATGTATGAATATAAGCAGTCAATACACTTAGTCAAAGATCTCAACAGATATACATAAACACTTCTATATGCTCACAACCTATAACTCATATAAACATGCTTTAACTCATAACTCATACTTGAACACATTCACATGCTATACACAGATATAAACCAACTATAGTCTATTGTGTACTATTCACAATCATACTGATAGATAAGGCAATAACTGAAGTTTAACAAGTAAAATCATGCTTTCATGCTAACACTTATATAATGATGAAACTGTACTTCTTAAATGCTCTAAATGAAACATATGCAAAGTCCTGATACAAGTAAGGATATGATGCTATAGATATATAGATAGATATGTATACTTATACTTTCGCTCTTATTAAAAGAAATACTTTTTCTGTGAAGGATCTTTGTTGAGTCACTTGACTCGTTTTTCTCTTCTTTCTTTCTTGTTTTCTTTCTTCTTTCTCAATCTGTCTCATGATTCTCTTTTCTCTTATTTCTTTCATTCTGGGTATGCGAGGCAGGTACTCCGCCGCAGCGAAGCCCTAGCAAATGGTGCATCTCTTGCAACCGCCACATCCGTATCAACGGAACCTCAAACTCGTGGGGGAGGTAGGACCTTCACGATTCGTAAATGGACCTATCCGGGCTCGACAATCTAGCCGGTCTA